GTCCACCCTCACAACCAACTTCCATGGCACTTCTTTCTTTCTCTTACCAACCTCCTCAGCTGCCCCGAGGGATGCTACCTTTTCCTTGGCTCCACGGGTAGCTTGGTGCCCTGCAGGGTGCCAGGCGGCCCCTTCCCAACACCAGCCAGCTCTGCGATCTTTCCCGACCAGGCTCCCGCTGCATTGATCACTATGGCGCACTCCACAGGCTGGTACTCCAGGCTGTTGTCCATCTTCACCTAGAGGCATCAGAAGGTGAGGGCAGGAAGGGTCTGGACCACACAGTGGGCACCGTGATGGGCACACCTCTTCTTGAGCCTTAGTTTACCCTTCCAGGAGGGTGGGTAGAGAAGACCAGAATAAGGACCCTCTTCTCCTTTCTTGTTCCTCCACTCTGGAAGGAACACTCTTGGCCTGGGAACTTACATGGACTTCACGGATCCTTTTCATGATAATCTCTTCCCCACTTGTGGTCTCCATGCGGCTGGAGGAAGAGACAAACCCTACAGGGAAGAAAACCAAAACTAAGCCTTGAGGCCCGGAAGAGGCAGGAACATGGGGATTCTTCCTAGTCTCTCCAGGAAAGCAGGCTGGGGGGCTGGGAGCTTTCCCACAGACACTGAAGCAGCAGAGATGAGGTCAGCGGGATGAGCACGGGTCCACCTGGGACAGGGCAGTGCTGAAACTGTCATGCAGGTCCCAGGTCACAAAGCAGCAAATGCAGCAGCCAGAGTCAGGCTGGCAGACAACAGCCGCCCCCCTTCCAACCTTGCCTAGCCTGGGATCCAGATGATAAACCCCACTCTGGGCCCCTGCCTGGGGGGCATCAGACTCACGTGTCACCTCGCCCTGGCAGAAAAGGACCCCCATGGACTGGACCTTTCGCCGGAGCCCCTGGAGCAGGGACCAGGGGTCAAACCAACCTTCATCTTCCATCCCTGAAAAAGAGTTCCAGATGAGGAACTTGGAACCGCCTTCTCCTGCTCTACTTCCCGCCCCCATCACTCCAGCCCTTCTGTAGGGCTTGGCAGCTGGGGAAGGTCATCTTAAGCAATGATCAGTTCCAGCAGGGTGCGGCCAGGCCCTGAAGCGGGAAGCCTGCAGCTTGGCTAGGGGGAAGCCAAGCCCTCCAACCTCTGGCCCCTGTGCATGCAAGCCTCACCGTATGACGCCAAAGCCACTCCCTCTGTGTTTATCCAGGGAAACTTGTTCCGAAGCTGCTCGGGTGACATCAGACAAATCTTGGCTCCTTCCTGCCTGAGAGATGTGGGTCTGCGTTTGTGTGACGGAGAGGGCGAGTGTGTGGAGAGGACATGGACAGTCCCCCACTCCACAAGTGGGGAGTCCAGCTCATTGTCACTTCTCTGCTCCACACACCCCGATTTTTCCTCACCACTGAATGGGTGAGGACCCAGTCTACAGGTAAAGGCTCTTGGGCACCTGACCCCTCTTTTCCATCCCCCCACGTCCTGCCACAGCATGGTAACTGTTCCCTCCACTCCTATGCCCAGAATGGCCTCCGTCTGCCTAACCCAGGTGCTGAAAGAACACGCTCCCGGGGCTGGTGCTGTGACGTAGTGGGTTAAGCTGCTGCCTGCGATGCTGGCATCCCACATGGGCACTGGTTCAAGTCCTGGTTGCTCCACTTCCCTTCCAGCTCCCTGCTAATGTGCCTGGGAAAGCTGCAGAAGATGGCCAAAGTGCTTGGGCTCCTGAACCCATGTGGGAGACCTGGAAGACGCTCCAGGCTCCTGGCTTCAGTCTGGCATAGCCTTGACCACTGTGGCCATTTGGAGAGTAAACCAGAGGATGGAAGATCTCTTTCGTTCTTGCCCTCCTCTCTCTATAACTCTGCCTTTCTATTAAACAAATACCTTTGGAAGAAAGAAAGAATACTCTCATTAGACAGATTGCCTGTTTTGAACTGAATCCTTCTGCCTAAGCTTACTAACTGCTGTGCCACGGTTTCCCCACTTGTAAAATGGGGGTGATGATCAAATGAGTTAGGCACAGAGTGTGTTACCTGAGGTCACCAGTGAGACTTGCAGCGTGTTTGTCAAATAAACAGAAAAATAAAGCCTCCAGCTGCAACACATCACAAAGATGCTGGCTCTTGATAGATCGGGCCAGCCACTTAGGGCAGGCGTTGCCACTTTTGACCTGCTGCCTGTCCTTGTGAATGAGCCCCACTCATTCATGTTCTCATCTGTGGATGCGTCTGTGCACCAATGGCAAAGCTGAATGGCTTCAAAAGAGGCCACGAGGCAAGAAAAGCCTAAAATATGGGCTGTGTGGCCCTTTACAGAGAAAGGATGCTGACCCCTGACTTAGGGTTCTTGTTAAAAAATCCAATTCCTGTGCCCGTCCCTAGGGATGCTGGTTATTAAGTCTGGGCTGTGTCCTCTGTGGCAGTGTTTTGTCCCCATCTGCCCCAGCACTCAGCACAGGACACGGCAGGTCACAAGCAGCAGCTTTCCTGACAGAGGAGGGTCCTGTCCCATCAACTCTGTCTTCCCAGCTCCTAACCTGGCGCAGGAGCTCACCAAATGTGTGAGGCCAAGAAGCGGCTCACAGCCTACACCGGGCACCCACCTCTGCACTTTCACGTTGTTCTCCAAGGTGGAGGCACTCTTTTCTGAAGCCAACAGGAGATAGCCTGAGGGGTTGAACTGGAGATCCAGGGGAGGGGCGTCAACCACAGCCAGGTATTCCTGTGTGCAAAGAAAAGCTGCCTGAAGAGGCTGACCCAACAAAGGGAGAGCTTTCTAGACTCAGCGCCCCAAACCCAAGAGAAGCCTCCTCCTGGCACCACCACTGGGGGGGGGGGGGGGGGGGAGGCAGGTTCCCACCCTTTGTTGCCTGACCATTCCTGTTCCCTAGGCTAAAGGAGAGGTCGCCACCCAAGCCCAGATCTCACCACGCTTACATTGATATTCCGAAGAAAGTTGATCGAGAAGAGGGAGAGCTGGACATTCTCTGGCAATGAGAACTGCTGACGGATCCCGCCCACGGAGAGCCCGGTGGAGGCCTGAGCGTACTGGGGGAGATGAGAAAAGCTGAACAGATGCTGCCCTGGAAGCTGGCCGTTGCACGCTGAGAGTTAAAGGGCAGGCCTCCTTGCAAGTTTATAACCTAAGAGGCCCTTGGGTGTCCACAGCAGCCTTTCAGCGGTACTGTTTAACATCAGCATTAGCAGGCGTGCACAGCACAGACAGTGGGCCATCTAAAGAGGGGTGTGCACAGTGCAACACAATGGCAATGGGCTGGAAGTACTAGCGCTGGAGGTTAGCTCTGACCTCCTCATTGGGGAAAAGATGTGACCAAAGGCAAAGGGGAACAGCTGAGTGCAGAAACCGCAGAAGTCACAGAACCTGAGAGAAGGCCGGGTGGGACAGCTGCTTGCCTTGCATGAATTACTAGCTGAATGCAGGCTCTCTCGGCCAGACCTTTGTGACCTCAAAAGAGCCAACACCGTGGAATCTGCTTTTAGAAGCAGAAGCCTTACTGCCAAGGTTAAGGACCTGCAGCTATTCAAGGTTCAAAGCACAGTTCCTGACCTTGGGATCTGCAAAATTGGGGTCTTTTCCTTCCCTCCCGTCCCTCACCCCTAGAGTCCTTAATAAAATATGGGTCATTTTGCTTGTCCCACTCACGACGCTACCCCACCCCAGACCTCACCGTGTGGTCGCGTTCCACCACCAGCACCCGAATGGCGCCTCGTCGCTTCTCTAGCTTCTTCAGCCAAAAGGCCACAGACAGGCCTACCACCCCGCCTCCCACGATCACCACATCTGATTGTTCGGGGGGCAGGTGGCTGGTGTCATACAGTGGGTCACAGATCTCTCCAGGCAGCATTGACTTGATCTTCTTCTTAACCTCCGACACCTTCTCATCCCAGTCTGTGGGATATAGTTAGGGTCAGGGGATCATACGTGCCCTTCCGTATGGTGAGGGGTTAGAGGTAAACGGACACTTGTGTTGGCGTCTCCACTGTCATCCCTTCTCATAAGGGTCCACTTCCACCAGCAGTGTTGTCTGCTCTACTGCGTGGTCTATACGCCATCAGCCTCCCTTTCCATGCACCAAGCCCTGAGCTGCGAGACTCAGCTTGCTAAAGTTAATACTTTCTACTCTCCCTGTCCTAGACGATGCACTCAGATTTGCAGCCCTCTCTCTCCCTTAACAACAACTGCATGTCATCTCCACTTGGGGTCTTAACCGCCCCCCCACCCCTGCCAAGACATCATGGAAGAAAGCCAGCTGCACCGTTCTCTTTAGCACGGTACCTTAAGTGGCACCTACACCTGGCTATCCGCCACCAGCTGCAAACTTACATGTTCGTGGATTTGTCACCTGAGAAGGGCCGCGTTGGGATCCAGACACCTGCCCAGGCCCTACAAGTCCCGGTAGGTGGCTCACCCCCGACACACTCACTGTCCTGTCGGCGTGGACCCGGCTCGCGGGCCCCGAAGCTCAGAGAGCCGGAGGTTGGGGCACCCAGAACCACGATAGCCTGTGTCGCTTTGAGCCTTACCCACAGTAGAGCCTCCTCCGCGTGAGCCTAGGCCCCGGGTTAAGAGGCCCCGTCCCAAGCCCAGTTGCAGCACTCCCCGGAGCATGGCCCTAGAGAATCTGGAACCTTAGAGCTAGCTGCACCTTAGCTCGGCCCCATCCCCGCCCCCACGGCTCGGCGCCACGAGCTCTTCAGCTGAGCGCGCCCATTGGCCAGCGGCCCTCCTGGGAGCCGCCCCTCCACGCTATTGGCAGCTCTCTCTTCGTGACCTCCGCGGTAGCCCCACCTAGACACGCCCCCACCCACCATTGGCCAGCCTTATATTTACGTCGGTCCTGCGCGCCGAGGGGCGGAGGTGAGGGTGGAGGGAGCCCGGCGGCCTGAGCGGAAGTGCGGATGAGCCGGTTTCCGGGGCCGCTGGTGTGACGTGTCCCGAGCCTGGCGCAGCAGGAAGCGGCGGCGTTCGCGGCCTGAGTTCCCGACGCCGGCCCCGGCTCGTCTCCCGCTGCCGCCATGCTCGACTTCTTCACCATTTTCTCCAAGGGCGGGCTTGTGCTCTGGTGCTTCCAGGGCGTGAGCGACTCATGCACCGGGCCCGTTAATGCGTTGATTCGCTCCGTCCTGCTGCAGGTACCGCCCCCGCGGGATCAGAACTCCGGGTTTCTCCGCCCCAACCCCTACCGTGGTCCCCGCTTCGCCTGATCATCCCGCGCGTGACCGCTACCCTCCCTGCCCACCTCAAACCGCCCACTGTCCCGTAAGCCGGACTTCATTTCCTCCTGCTGCCCCCCGTGGACCTCCCGCAACTTTGCGGACCCCTCCCCCGCCCCGGTATCTGGGACCGGAGCCGCATGCCGCGGCCCCTCGGGACTTCCTTCGCGCCCTCCGTCCACCTCCCCGCAGCTTGGTTCTCTCTCGAGGCTGGGTGAGATTATGGATGTGAAAACATCGTTAGAACCTGGAGAGCCGCTCATAAATCTGATTGTTTATGTGCGGCCCCACGTGTCTTGGCTTACTCATCTCTCCCGAGCCGGGATCTCCGTTTCTCCTCGGTAATGCCAGATGCCTGGCATCCGCCTGTTGGGGGGAAACGTCTGGTTCTCTCCCAAAGCTACTCCTGGAGGGGCCACGGCTGGTTTTCTGGGGACAGTCTGAACCCTGAGACGACTCTTTTTCTAGGAACGGGGCGGTAACAACTCCTTCACCCATGAGGCACTCACACTCAAGTATAAACTGGACAACCAGTTTGAGCTGGTGTTTGTGGTAAGTTTGGGAGTATTTTAGAAAGACAAGATTAAATTTCCTACACGGTCCGGATTGTTAAGAGAATCCCAATTAACCGCAGCCAGTGTGTATGGTGGAGTTGTTGAGAAAACTAGCGAGGTGGAGGGGGGTAATGGAAGCGGCCTCTGGGCCCAGGCAGAGCTTGGCTGCCTGTCAGGCGAGGGAAACCTGCCAGGTGGCTGGGCCTGTCTCTCGAGGCCTGGGTTGAGTTGGCTTCCCTCCCTTCTGGGCTGGCATGTAAGCAGATCTCTTGGCTCTGTTTCTTCCCCTAAACAGGTTGGTTTTCAAAAGATCCTAACGCTGACGTATGTAGACAAACTGATAGATGATGTGCACCGGCTTTTTCGGGACAAGTACCGCACTGAGATCCAACAACAAAGTGCTTTAAGTCTATTGAATGGCACTTTTGATTTCCAAAATGACTTTCTGCGGCTCCTTCGGTGAGAGGCCTCCCCTCTCCAAAATCAATTTCCATGACTGGAGAGCTCCCTCCTTGAAGGTGGTTCAAGGGTAGAAAATTCTGTGTTCAAAGACACTCCTAATTTGCTGTCCAGTCCTGCTTGCTGTCTTGGTGGGAGGGTTGTTTTCTGGACTCCTCTGACCTCCTGCACAGGGAAGAAAGATCAGCCATTCTCTTTGCTCTTTAGTGAAGCGGAGGAGAGCAGTAAGATCCGTGCTCCCACTACCATGAAGAAATTTGAAGATTCTGAAAAGGCCAAAAAACCTGTGAGATCCATGATTGAGACGCGGGGGGAAAAGCCCAAGGAGAAAGCAAAGAACAGCAAAAAAAAGGGGGCCAAGAAGGAAGGTGAGCGGAGCTCTTGCCACAGCGAGGTGGTCCATCCTTTTGTCATCGCTGGCCTCCCTTCCACTCAAAGGCGCGCTCACCGCCCTGTCATTTCCAACCTGTACACTCTGATTTTGCCCTGAAGGATTCGGAAGACGTCTGTCCGTTGTCTAGTTGGTAGGGGATTGGCTTTGTCTCCAGTGAGGTTTCTCTTAACAGGTTCTGATGGCCCTTTGGCGACCAGCAAAGCAGTCCCCGCAGAAAAGTCGGGTCTCCCAGTGGGGCCCGAGAATGGAGTGGAACTTTCCAAAGAAGAGCTGATACGCAGAAAGCGAGAGGAGTTCATCCAGAAGCATGGGAGGGGTTTGGAAAAGTCCAGGTGAGCATTTTGGCTTTTTCTGGTACTTTCCTAAAATGCCGTGATGGTGGGGACAAGGGACCTATCTACGGCTCATGTGTTCTTTTCTGCTCTTCCATGCTAACCATCTGCAGCAAGTCCAAGTCAGAAGCTCCAAAGGAGAAGGGCAAAAAAGCGCCCCGGGTGTGGGAACTGGGTGGCTGCGCTAACAAGGAAGTCCTGGACTATAGTACTCCCACCACCAACGGAGCCCCTGAGGCTGCCCTGTCTGAGGACATCAACCTGGTAAGAGACAACAGCATCAGAGTGAAGGTTACCATTCATAAGAAATGGGGAAGAAATGCAGACTAGGAAAGTGAGACCTGGATTTGAGCGAGAAGTTACACTGGAAGCCTCCCCACCTGAGAGCAGTGTGGACAGGGTGCGTCCTGGGCTCTTTCCTCTCGGAACCCTTAGTGTTCCTGACCCCCTCTCCTTCCTTTCCCCATATCCTCCAGATTCGAGGGACTGGGCCTGGGGGGCAGCTTCAGGATCTGGACTGCAGCAGCTCAGATGATGAAGGGGCCGCTCAAAACTCCACCAAACCTAGGTAGGGGAACTTCAGGTGTGGGGGTGGTGTGTATGGCTGCAGTTGGTAAGCTGTAACTCCTGCCCGCTGGCTTGTGTGTATTTGTGATCTCCTGTGCCTGCAGTTCTACCAAGGGAACTCTGGGTGGCATGTTTGGGATGCTGAAGGGCCTGGTGGGTTCCAAGAGCTTGAGTCGGGAAGACATGGAATCTGTGCTGGACAAGATGCGTGACCATCTCATTGGTAAGTTCCGAGAGCTGGGCTGACTCCCATCCATGGGGTGGGCTGGCTGTGAGCAGGGCCTGCAGTTTCTCAGCTGTGCCATCAACATGCGGCCACAGAACTCACACACCTTTCCCACTCTCCTCAGCTAAGAACGTGGCTGCAGACATTGCTGTCCAGCTCTGCGAATCTGTCGCCAACAAGTTGGAAGGGAAGGTGATGGGGACGTTCAGCAGTAAGTACTCTTAAGCCAGAACATGCTTATACATACCGAGCAGTTAAGCACACAGACTTCCATTCTTACTAGGTACGTGACTTCTGGCAAATTCCTTACTTCTAAACCTCTGTTATATAACCTAGACTTTAAGAGTTATTAGGGTAAAATGAGCTAATACTTGTAAAGTGCTTAGAATAGCATGGGTTGGGTTCCTGGGCCAATAGTGTAGCACCATCCTAGCCCCTTAGAACAGGAAAGAGTTGGGCATCTTGGAATACATTCCTGGGGCTTCCTGGCTATGCGCGTCTCTACCTGCCCTTTCAGCGGTGACTTCCACGGTGAAGCAAGCCCTACAGGAGTCCCTGGTGCAGATCCTGCAGCCACAGCGTCGTGTGGACATGCTCCGGGACATCATGGATGCCCAGCGCCGCCAGCGCCCTTACGTCGTCACCTTCTGTGGTGTTAACGGAGTGGGGAAGTCTACTAATCTTGCCAAGGTCAGTGCAGGTCCCCAGCCTGACAGTGCCATAGCTGTACTCTCCTTGTCTTAGAGCCCTGGCTCGAGGTGACACTGTGAATGTCACTGTTTTGCAGATTTCCTTCTGGCTGTTAGAGAACGGCTTCAGTGTCCTCATAGCTGCCTGTGATACGTTTCGTGCTGGGGCTGTGGAGCAGCTGCGCACACATACCCGGCGTCTGAGTGCCCTACACCCCCCAGAGAAGCATGGTGGTCGCACTATGGTGCAGTTGTTTGAAAAGGGTTATGGCAAGGATGCTGCTGGCATTGCCATGGAAGCCATTGCCTTTGGTACGGTGCACAGAAGTTCATGGGAGTAGCTGGGGCCCCCTTTCCTTCCTGGGTTTCCTTGGAGTTTGCACAGAGGGTCAGGCTTACCCGGTTACAAAGTCACTGCTCAAAAGCAGGAAAAGGGACTAGTTCGTTGCCACATTCTGCCTGTGTAGTTGATGGCAAAGCTAATAGTCTAACCGAAGAAATCTACATTGGGTCACCTTTACCCTGTTGCTCCCCTTTTCCCAAACATGTTTGCTGATGGCCAGGCATAGAACTGGTCCTTTTTTTATATTACCTTATAACCAAATCCAGAATCCAAGAAGTTAACAGGCTGTTAAGTATTAAGGGTCAGGGTGGGTGTTTTGAGTTGACTGCTTTCTCTCTCTCTAGCACGTAACCAAGGCTTTGATGTGGTGCTGGTGGACACGGCTGGCCGTATGCAAGACAATGCCCCTCTGATGACCGCCCTGGCCAAACTCATTACCGTCAATACACCTGACCTGGTGCTGTTTGTGGGGGAGGCCTTAGTAGGCAACGAAGCCGTGGACCAGCTGGTGAGGGCTTGGGCCTAGTTCTCTTTACACTCCAAGCTCTGGCCAATTAGATGGTTCTTACATCATCTCTTTGCTTTCCAGGTGAAGTTCAACAGAGCCTTGGCTGACCACTCAATGGCTCAAACACCTCGGCTCATTGATGGCATTGTCCTCACCAAATTTGACACCATTGATGACAAGGTAAATGTGGATGGCACAGGACAGTGAGACTGGAGGGGGACAGGCATCCTTCAGGGGAGCTGAGACTGAGGCCACATTGGCTCTAAGTTTTCTGTTACTGAGTTATTACTACTGAGGGAGTGAAAAGCAGTAGACCTGAGCTAATGGGCTGTCCCTTTCTCCACTTCAGGTGGGAGCTGCTATTTCTATGACGTACATCACAAGCAAACCCATCGTCTTTGTGGGCACTGGCCAGACCTACTGTGACCTACGCAGTCTCAATGCCAAGGCTGTGGTGGCTGCCCTCATGAAGGCTTAATGTGGCTCTTGTCCAATACCAAATTGCCGCTTTCCCCAAGCCCCTCTTCCTGTATCAAGAATGTGCTTTAGAGTCTGTGAGCAACTTGTCTTCAGTGTAATACAAAGGCAGGGTGAGGGGATTTCCAGGGGCCTGCAGCTCCTTCTAACCCCGTGCCCTGCTCAGTCCAGCCTCCATCTGCAAGGAGGGCCTAATCATGTTCCAATCACTGCCCAGTGACTTCCCCTTTCCTACTCAGGCATCCCCTTCACTCTGCAACAAACTCCGTTACGACAGCTTTGACCAATGGTTGGAAGACCCAACACCAGAGCTTTGCTAATCAGTGTGGTCATGGAGCACCTGGGCCTAATGAGCAGGCTGCTGTGCCAGCACCGTTAGGTTAGACTTGCAGCGCCAGCGCTGGGTGATACCTCTCCCTAGGACACACAGGTTTCAGGTCCTTGGGGCCAGGATGACACCACCTCACTATGGCAGTGTATGGCCTGTTCTTAATTGCTGCTAATTCTAAATCTGATGACGACTCCTACCCCATTGTTGCCCCCAAAGCATCAGCTCGGCCAGAGTGATTTCTTACAAGTAAGTGGAGGATGAGTCCCTGCTTCCCTCAGAACTCAAACAAAGGGAGCCGACTGCAGTGCTGCATTGGGCTTCTCAGCCTTCCGGCTTGACCCCACACCAAAATCCAGATGTAACCTTTGCATGTTCCCCTTCCTGGGAGAAAACACTTGTCAGAGGCTATCAGTCGCCCCCGCCCCAGCTCCATCCTTCACCTCCTGAGTGAGTCCTGGCTTTCCCCATCCCTCTCTACAGTGCCTGGTAGACAAGTGCTACATTGAAGAATACAAACCTCTGTTCAGACTTGTCCTGTAGCTTGGTATTACAGATGTGCTATTAGTGCAATAAGGTGAAGGCTGTCCGCCCAGAGAAAAACATAATTTATATAAGAAAATAAATTTCATAAATAAATTGCCTTTTAGGTCTTGGAGTTATTTATACAGGACTCAAAACTGAAACCCCACATCACACTAACGTATCTAGGGCGTATTTATGGTATAGAAGGGCAACAGTGATGCTGAGGAATCAAGTCATCATTGTCCCAAGAACAAGCTCACCCCACCCAAGGTGAAAGAATTTTCACAGTGAGTTATAAAAATGAAGCTTATCAGTATACCTTGGGTGCAAGTTGGAAGTTTTCTACAGTGACTCTCAAAGCAGAGCCAGGGCCCTGGCAAGTAAATGAACAAGCTTTTAATACAGCTGTTATGTAAAATACTGTACACTGTAAAAGATCTAGAAAACTAGAGCTTCAAGTCATGTTTTAAAAAAGCCATTAAGCTGAGTTGAAAAACCAAGTGTAGAGTACAAAACTGCAACAAGAGCCATGAAGATTCCACGGCTTCTGGATGCCCCGAGTCCTTCATGCAGAGCCGCAGCCACCACCTGCGCAGTGCCATACTGATCTGCCGTGTGGACACAAGCATGTCCAGCCCAGGGGGCAGGGGGTGCATTTGGGTCCTGTTGTCACTTGGGTGTTCTTGAACTGGAACAGGCAGCAGAATGTCAAGAAACCAGCCAGCATGAAGGAGTCAATTTAGAGTATTTCCTCCCCTATTCTACCCCCAACCTTCAACCTCTGTGTATTGGTATTTCTGGGTGCTGTGTTGGGTTCTTGCAAGTTTACTTGTTAAACACTGTCCACAGTAGGGCCTGACAGCTTGGTCTGGTGGTGCTGATTTCTCTAGCTTGCTCATGTACTGCAGCCTGTGAAGAGAAGGAAAAGGTAGAGAATGAAATGAAGTTTCCCAGGATGGGTTTTTGCAACAAAAGCTGCAGATATTCAAGTCAATCCTAAGCTTTCAGAAGACAAAGCAGAAGGTTCTAGGACTCTTGTTAACAGACCGCATATGAAAAGGCAGAGTCCTTAATAGGTAACACAGGCAAATTACTATTTTCCCTTGCCTTGACTGAATCTCAGGACAAGTGTCTACAGATGGAATAAACAGAATGGGAAACAGCTTACCTCTTAGCTCACTGTGGGCTGCGGAGGAGCCATTTAGCTGACCTTCTCTCACCATCCCTGCTGAAAAGAGAGTGCATCAGTGTGAGACGTCAGCCTGAAAAACTAAGAAAACCAGTTAAAGGGAAATTAAAGCACATGGTGGGACTGCAGACACTGGCACTCAGAAATGAAACAGTCAAGAGCAGAGCAAGTAGAATACCATGAGTAGTCCTCAGATCCTTACATTCAGCTACAGAAGCGAGAAAGGTTTCTTCCTGCACTTAAGACTGCTTGTGAACAACACATTTCACACAGAGTGAGTCTGCCATCCCTCTGTAGTCTGGAAGGCCAAGCATAGTTTTAAAAAATTCAGTCTGATCAGGGATGGGGAGCAGCACATGAGCTGAGCAAATTCAACCAAGTAGAAGAGTGAAAATCAACAGCTACTCCTGTATTAGAATATGGGCGAGATCTTCATCCCCTATAGTACGATCAGCTACACACGGCTTCATTATATTAATAGGAAAAAAAAGAAATCAGAAATTGGCTAGCAGGAATAATTAATTAAATTGTAACATCCACACTGGAATATAATACTGTCAATTAAAAACAGTGGTTATGGGGCCGCCTGCAGCACCGACATCCCATATGGGTGCCAGTTTGAGTTCCTGCTGCTCCACTTTCAATCCAGCTCCATCTGCCTGCCCTGTCCTGGCTGTTGCAGCCATTTGGGGAGTAACCAAAGGATGGAAGATCTCTCTCATTCTAATTTTCAAATAAATATTAAAAAAGAAAAACAGTGGCTATGAAGATTGTGACGATGTGGGAAAATGGATGAGGTAATACTAAATAAAAGTACCCAAATTGTAAGTATGTACTTTGTTTAAAACTATGAGAAAATATACACGGAAAATTATTATAAACACACCAAAGTAACTACTTATGTGGTAATGAACCGCAAGGTAATTATTTTCCCCATGGCCTGCTTTTTCTGAAATACATGTGCTAGATCCTCCATAATCCTTTGAAAATAGGTAATTTTCACCATTCATAAACAGTCCACAGCACAATGCATGCGAGGCACAAAGGAGTGCTGAAACACAAAACAGCAAAAAACCTCTTCTTATCATGTATTTACAGACTTAAAATATTACCAAAGACAGGAGAGAAGCTTTACAACATCTCAAAATTGAAACTCCTGCTAGATTGCAAATTGCAAACCTAACTGATCATTCCATTAAAGCCCCGTGGCCAGACTGAAAATACGTCATTTTTAGAAGTACAGAACATCTTCATGACGGATAACTTTGGGGAAAGTCACTCTGGTAGGAAGCCTACATAGCACATAACAGAATCTACATTTCTATGATTTGGTGCGACAGAAATAGCTGTCCACAGGATTTTGTTGTAAATGTTAGCATCTTTCCTGGGCACAGAATCTCAGAATACAGATTAAAAAAAAATATGTAGAGCTTGGGTGTGTATCTCTTGTTTAATGAAACAGAATATGTGCAATGGCAAAGCCTACTCTGGGTTGCAAATGTGGGCAAACAGCACAGTCTAGGACTGTGGGATGCCAGAAAAACATCCCCAACAAAGCAGAGCCAACTTTTTCCATAGAAGAGAAAACCTTGGTTTGTCTGTCTAAACCTTCTGAAGAAAGGGTTGACCTTGTCTGCCGTGGTCCTGTTTCACAAAGCATGGCCATGGAAGAGCTTGGAGAATTTTTCATCACAGGGTAGTTCTTTTATTTATTTATCTGACAGGCAGAGTTACAGATAGAGAGAGAGAGAGAGAGAGAGAAAGGTCTTCCTTCCGTTGGTTCATCCCCCAAATGGCCGCCACGGCTGGCGCTGAGCCAATCCGAAGCCAGGAGCCAGGTGCCTCTTCCTGGTCTCCCAAGGAGGTACAGGGGCCCAATCACTTGGGCAATCCTCCACTGCCTTCCCGGGCCACAGCAGAAAGCTGGACTGGAAGAGGAGCAACCAGGACTAGAACCCGGTGCCTGTAAGGGATACCAGCACCGCAGGTGGGGGTTTAACCAAGTGATCCACGGTGCCGGGCCCCATCACAGGGTAATTCTACCTGAAGCCATCTGATGCAGAAAAGCAACCTGGGAAGGATTAGATTTAGGAAAAGGTAGCTATCTCTTCAGTTACCCCTACGTTAACAGGCCCCCAACATGTGTTTGTTGGATTAGGAGTGAAGCACTTATTAACAGACTTTGCTTGCAGTCCATAACAAACCAAACCTTTATCACAATTCTTCCCTTTATTGCTAGAGCCTGGAGAGAAAATCCCAAGTAAGTGGTGACCCCTCACCTCTGACTTTAATACGACCCTCAGTGGTTTCCAAATAACATTTTAGAAATTTGTTTTGTTTAAAGATAGTGCATAAGTTAAAAATTACTCCAGATATTTTTCCATATACACACAAATAGAATATAGCTACAGTTTTATATAAAAGGTTTCTACAATGTTCATGGAAATGTGGATTATGAAAAAACTATGCATGGATTTCAAAACCTTTGTAATCAAACTTATCTTTGAATGGAACTGACCATATGGCATTTACAACTCTCTCTTTAAAAATATTTTATTTACTTATTTATTTATTTTGAAAGAGTTACTGTGAGAGAATGAGAGAGTGAGGTCTTCTATCTGCTGCTTCACTCCCCAGATTGCCGAAACAGCCAGCACTGGGCCAGGCTGAAGCCAGGAGCTTCATCTGGGACTCCCACGTGGGTGCAGGGGCCCAAGCACTTGGACCACCTCCACTGCTTTCCCAGGTACATTAGCAGGGAGCTGGGTCAGAAGTGGTGCAGCCAGGACACAAACCAGTGCCCATATGAGATGTTGGCATCACAGGCAGTGGCTTTATTGGTTATGCCATCACTTCTTGGCCTTTTGGTTAAAATTAAGTGTATCACCTATGCCACAATGCCGGCCCTTACAACTTTTCCTTTGCTTATGTCTGTGACCTATTTATGACAATGAAAGCATTTCCCCTTTTATGGCTTCATCATATTTCATCAATACTTAAGTTTAGTGTTTCTAAAAAATCCCCTCCGGACTGGGACATTTTAAGTTTGTTCCAATTTTTGCCATTACTTACAACTCAGATTCCATTCTCAGGGACACATACTTGTGCAATTATATACTTACTCCTTAGGAGAAATGTCCTCTAGCATCAACTGCATTGATGGGATTTCTGGGCACATATTCTAAACTTGCCTTCATAAAAGTTACACTAAGTTTATCTCCCCACCAATGTACTACACGAGTAAGTTTCCTCCCAGCCTTAGTCAAAATGCAGTGATCAATCTTCTGTACTTCGTCATAATTCTAATTGCATTTACAGTGAGGCTGAAGCTCTTACAAAGATACTTCTTTCGTTCTCCTTGCTTTCTGTTTCTTTTTTTTTTTCTTTTTTTTTTTTGACAGGCAGAGTGGACAGTGAGAGAGAGAGACAGAGAGAAAGGTCTTCCTTTTGCCGTTGGTTCACCCTCCAATGGCTGCCGGGGCTGGCGCGCTGCGGCCGGCACATCACGCTGATCCGAAGGCAGGAGCCAGGTGCTTCTCCTGGTCTCCCATGGGGTGCAGGGCCCAAGCACTTGGGCCATCCTCCACTGCACTCCCTGGCCACAGCAGAGAGCTGGCCTGGAAGAGGGGCAACCGGGACAGAATCCGGCGCCCCGACTGGGACTAGAACCCGGTGTGCCGGCGCCGCAAGGCGGAGGATTAGCCTAGTGAGCCGCGGCGCCGGCCCCTCCTTGCTTTCGTACTGAATGCTGAGGGTACTTTCGTCCAATTTCCTGTTATCCAAAGGGCACTCAAAAAAGTGCCAAAGGCTGCGACCTCCTGCCGGATAGGACTAGGCATGTCATTTCTCATCTTCGTCATGTTTTTATGCATCATACACAAAGCTGAACAGCTGTCTTCCCCTCCGTCTTAAAATGCCTCTTACCTGGGGCCGGTGCTGGGGCGCAAGAGGTTAATGCCCTGGCCTGAAGCACTGGCATCCCATATGGGCGCCAGTTCAAGACCCGGCTGCTCCACTTCCGATCCAGCTCTCTGCTATGGCCTGGGAAAGCAGTAGAAGATGGCCCAAGTGCTTGGGTACCTGCACCCACGTGGGGGACCAGGAAGAAGCTCCTGACTCCTGGCTTGGATTGGCGCAGCTCCGGCTGTTTCGGCCATCTGGGTTGTGAACCAGTGGATGGAAGACCTCTCTCTCTCTCTCTCTCTCTCTCTCTCTCTCTCTGCCTCTCCTCTCTCTGTGTAACTCTTTCAAATAAACAAATAAATCTTAAAAAAAAAAAAAAGCCTCTTACCTGATCTACCCCTCGTGGAGATCTCACACGTCAGTCGCCTGAAATATTCCGGAAGATCGGCATAGTCATTTCCATAGGAGATGACTTTAATCCCCTTATCCAGCATATTTTCTCGAAGCTTCTTGAACTCGTCAACATCTCCTCTCCTAACCAGCATGAAATGTTCGAGGTCAGATTTATGCTTGACAGCCTCCAGGAAAAGCGCCTGGAAAGTGGTGTCATCCACAGTCCAGCCACAACCCAGGAAAAGAAACGACTTGTTTTCATAGAGTTTCTGAATCTCTCTCTTGAAGGAAAAGAAAGAACATATTAATGACACTATGAACATCCACACAACACATGTTAGAAATAGCACGTTCACAGTGATATCTAGCAGACGGTGATGGCCAATTTTCAAGGGCACAGGTATGTTCCATGAAGGAGTCTCAGCTCCTCTTATTACTGTAGCTTGATGGCAGCTGGTCTATAAGTCTGCCTTTCCCCGGCATTGATAAGGGTTTTACAGGGTTGGTGCTGGGCTATTAGGCTTCTGTTTTAGATTTATGTGCCCAGGGGTCAGGAGGCACTGAGTAGGTTCTTCCTACTCAATTTCTGAACAATAGCTGCTCCACTACCACCACTTTTTTGCCTTACAAATTGAACCAGGAATCACCACAGAAGGTAATTCTATCATTAGATTTGCTCAAAGTCTGGAAACTTGGAACATCAACACGCACATATGGGTGGTGTGTGTGTGTGTGTGTGTAGCAGGGATTTTGTCCATGTGGTCACCTGATGAATGCAGTAACAGTGGACGGAGGGGAAGAGCAAGCCCCTGGCGCTTTAGGAAACGTCCCATTTTCTTGGCCTTTCTTCTGCTGCATCACGTCAAGATGCTATCATCATCTGGGACCCAGTCCTGACAGCAGCCAGCATGCAAGGTTCTCCTGTGGACCCTCCTACATTTCACTGGTGAGGAAGTGCTTCTGACTGGAATATGTATGTGTCAACAAGTCCAAAACTGACATCCCAAAGGAAGTTTCTCACAAAGGAGGAAACTTCCATCTTATCCCATTTTTGTCCAATGACCAATTAGTGTGAATAAATGTGGTCAGTATAAGCCCATGACCACTTACACAGAATCTGTTTACAGTGTATGCTTTCAAATGCTGCTTAAATTATTTTTGGCATAGAGAGGGATATTAATAAACCAAACAGAGGAGGTGGCTAGTACCATATTCCTTGCATACGAAGATGCTGCCAGCAGCAGAGTGTCCACGGCTTACCAGCAACCAAGCACAGATGAGGACCCCGTGGGTGACACCTACAGCCAGGTGCAGCATGGCCTAGGGCAGGATGCACACCCCAGGCTAAGCAGCACAGGTGACCAATGAGAAGAAGGCAATCCCCCTCTAAGCCCTGTGCACACTTAGTGGGGCCCCCCGGGCAGGAGCCCGAGACCCGAGGACAGCGGCACTCACCATAACTTCAGTGTTCCTGAGCACGTTCTGATATCCAGCTGGATGAAGCACAATGCCACTGGGGTTGGTGTAGACCCCATGGATATGTAACACGCTCAGCTTCCGCTTCTCCTGCGCCCACTCCAGAACCTGCACGACACGCATACAGCTTACCTGGCTGACAGCAAGAGCACCCGCTTCAGGTCACAGTGAGCAAGAAGCTGTGTTGAGGACCAGACTTCTGACCTAACTCTCCAGCTCCATAGCACAGGACAAGAATGCAAACCCTGACACAGCCTAAGTTTCCATTTCAGGTATGACCGTCAGGAATGCTGACAGCAAGTCTGGTGATTTCTCTTTAAAAGTCACAACCAAAAATTAGAGTTCTATTGTCATAATTTACAGAAACAACAGGGGCCCTTTCTCTGGTGAAACACACAGGAGCTGTGCATGACTGTATCAGGGATGCCCCCGTGAAATCGAGCCTCCCTGAATCCGGGCCCTTGTCACGGTGACTTGAGGCTGGCCACAAGGCTTACATTAGCCAATGGGGCATCAACAAACATGACTCAGCAGCAGCCTGGGAAACGCTGGTCTGACGAGTCTGTTGCTTCTGGAACCCAGCTGCCTTGTGAAGAGCCTGGGCTAGCCTGCTAGAGAGATGACCCAGCCAACCGCTGACAGGGAAACAGACCTCGCCCACCACCCGGCCCCAGTCTGGCCAGCAGATGAGTTCAGCCACCTGAGTGAGCTACAGAACCGGCAGAAGATGTGCCCAAGGAGCAGCTGGGCCCAGCTCCCCTTGCTGATTCACTGTACCCCAGGCATGTGTGTGTCCACTGTTCTAAGTCACGGAACTTCTAGGGTGGTTTCCTCTACAACAACAGGAGAGGGGCAGAAGAAACCACTTTGGTCTTCTCCGAGGAACCTACAACGTTGCCTATGAGAAGGCATCACTGGGATGGTGATTACAACAGCCGCCTGCAGCCTGCGGGGTTCGTCTTTCCAATTAGCACATTTGAGAGATATGGGGATATGGATTAGGAAAAATGGCCTGGAGGACAGACATTTAGAATTTGAGTATTACCAGACACCATTTCTACCACTGCACGGCTTTCCCCACTAGACTCCAAAATTGCCCCTTTGTAGCTAAAAATACAAAGGAAATGTCAAGACTGACAGATCCTTAGTCTGAAAAGGAACTTAGAGGCTTCTGAGGCCCATGAACACTTTATCATGATCTTTGGAGATTATACCAGAAACTGCATGGAAGCTGTTCTAGCCACCAAGCTTTAAATTTAACTTGATCAGTCACTAATTAAAAAAACATTTACTTGGCACCTACTATGTGCCAGATGCTATCTGAGACCCGAGTTGGGAAGGCTGACACAGTACCTGTGCAAATGGAGCTGCTATTCCAGTGGGGCAAACAGTCAAAACCAAACAGAAGAAATAGCCAGGGTAAAAACCACAAGTTACAATTAGTGCTACAAAGGAAACAAACAAAGGAATTTAAACAGGGTGGAACACTCAGGTTGAAAGGAATCGGTGAAGAAGCTGCTGGCCACACAGAGCACGAGGGAGAAGGCTTCCAATCTGCCTGCCAGAGAAAACCATTCTTTGTGGCACAATTTCTCTCATTTCCATCCCCCCCACTCCCACCCTTTTTTTTTTTTTTTTTTTTTTTTTTTTTTTTTTTACAGGCAGAGTTAGACAGTGAGAGAGAGAGAGACAGAGAGAAAGGTCTTCCTTCCGTTGGTTCACCCCCCAAATGGCTGCTGTGGCCGGTGCGCAGCACCGATCTAAAGCCAGAAGCCAGGTGCCTCCTCCTGGTCTCCCATGCAGGTGCAGGGCCCAAGCACTTGGGCCATCCTCCACTGCACTCCTGGGCCACAGCAGAGAGCTGGACTGGAAGAGGAGCAACCGGGAATAGAACCTGGTGCCCCAACCGGGACTAGAACCCGGGGTGCCGGCACCACAGGCGGAGGATTAGCCTAGTGAGCCGCGGCAACGGCCCTTCCATCCCCTTTTAAAATCCGTTCCGAGGTCAGCAAAAACAAGAGTGGTATTACAGTGCCGCCACCGCCACCACCACCACCCCCCACACCTGGCAGAGGCAAGCCCAGCAGTGCATGCCTGTGGGCCAATCACTCAGCCATTCAAGCTCGGCTCAGCTGGGCTCTAAGTGGGACACAGAGGTAGGTTCCTGAGGAGAACGAATGAAAATTACAAGGAGCAGGATAAATGAGGCCTTGAGGCCTCCTCTCAGATAGTCAGACTGACATATTTAACTCAATATTATGACAGATGGCTTACGTATAGTAGGGGCTATGTGGAAAAGAAAGAAAGTCTGCAGCATATTAATCTCTCCTCCTAGCGAAGTGCCTCCTCTAAAGCAGTTTTCCTCCATGTCCAATAGACACCAGACAGTGTATCCTGGGAGAGAACTCTGCATGAATATTTCAGCATCTAATACTAAGACGTGCTGGATGCCTTCCAGTTCAAATGACTGCCTTAAAACTGGGTAAAACTGTCAAAGCTCATAGTGATACTTTAAAAAAACCTCAAAATCCAATTTTTCTAGTGGTCCATAATTACTAACAGACCAAGTAGGAAACAGCTCTCCTAACGAAGACACAGACCAGCAGCCTGAAGAGACTAATGCTTTACGTTTTACCTTTTTCTCATCAGTAAGGTCGAGGGATTCAAGCTGTTTTCCCTGATCTGCTGCATACAGTTCCAGAAGGTTGTCAAAATTTGTAGTTAACACCAGGGCTCCATTTTCCATCAGGTGCAGAACTGACTGAAGTAGCTGCTTTCCAGAATCTTCCATCTTCGACTCCAGGTCATCAAATACTTCATATAAACAGTCCTTGAAGAATGTAGATCTAACATTACTGGTACGCTGCAGAAGGAATGGAAAGAGGAAAATTAATCCAAGGTGTCTGGGCAGTCCATTTGTTTTCACTGGAGTAATAAATTATTGAAACATACACTGTACTTAAGACAGGGCTAAAATATTCTCTAATGGGGCTGTAATGAGGAAAAGTGGGAGACACGTGCCCAAGGGCTCAGCACAATGCCTAGTCTACCACAACGGTCAAAAGCATCACCTCTGTGGCAGGCACACAACCACAGCTCTCTGAATAGGCACAGCTCGTTTACACTTTACTACCGGGACAAAAGGAGGTTCAGGAGAGAAAACACAACACCATGAACCCTAGCTAGGCCTCAGAAAAGGAGGCCACAGTTCTCGTTACACCTCCCTCATCTATGGAATAACCACTAAAAGATCTGAATGTGGTCGAGTGTCTTTTTTCTAATCCTAGGCATTTTATACAACTGCTCATGGACTTAGGGAAAAAAACATTCACCTTCTTCCCACTTCCTTTTTCTCTAGCACAATTCAGCCATCTGTTCACAGATTTGCTATGAAGAATACTACACACACATAAGTCATTATAAAAAATGTAGCAAGCTTTATAATCGAGAATTTGCATTTTGCAATTGTTAATCATTCTAGGGAGATTTCCCATTTCTTGACATTCAGTCAATATTTAAGTAACTGCTCTTCCAGATTCATTCTCACACACATGAGCACAGTCACGTGGCGCTAACTGCTTTGATGGATGCAGCCCACACATATACAGTGGTCTCCTAAGATGTGTGTATGCTCCCTCCACGATATTCACACGACGACAAAACTGCCTGGTGACACATTTCTTAGCCTGGGTCCCTGTTGTTAAATGACATGACTGAATCCCTGAGGAGTAATTACACCAACCTCAGCTGGAAAGCTGGTTTTATAACGTAGAGCACAAAGTGACTCTGAAATGGGAAAGTAACCATGCAATGTACTATAACAGGGACCTGATTCCCAGTCTACCCCTGATTAGACAGAAGGAAAGCAAGAGTCAGTGACTATAGGCCCAGTGTTTCCCACTGAATCTACAAATGACTGAACTCAGCTGTCAGGGAATAGATATCTAGCTCCTTCTGCTTTCCCTCAAAGTGGTCCCCTCCCTCCCCAGTTGCGTAGTGTGTCTCTGTAATAGTGCAAAGCTCAGAAGATCTGTTTCCATGGAATCATCTAAGCAGATTCAGAAAACACAGTTCAATCTGCTACACTCTTTCCCTGATTTGTCAAGGTATTTTATAAAATCACCAACTCTTTAATCATACTAATCAAGTAAAAGGTAACTATGTCATAAAGGAATCTTCAGAGCACAGAGCAGAGAGAGCTTCCACCCTGTGGAGCAGGGCTCTGGGATCCCTCCTCCATGCTGTACCCGTGGTTGGAAGACAAACCTCTTGCTAAGCACCACTGCTGGTGGGTATAGAGCTTCTTTCTCCGTGACAGATCATCCAATAACTTATGTGATTAAGACACACATTTTCCATTCTCATTACATAATGGCATAAATAATCAGACTACATACTAAGAGGGCATAGGCTACCAATGAGGGCCTGTAACACAATGTAGTCAGATGAACATCTGGTCAGAAACAAACAGTGAGGAATTTGTAACTCTAGTTAGTGCTAAGTTTCACTACAAGCAAGAGTCAATTATACGAAACCAGGCATTTTTCCAGATTTGTTTTAAAAAATATGATGCCCTTTTAATGTCTAATAAAATTACAATCCCTTGCTATGATCTAGCAATTCCATTTCTGGAAAGAGACCCAGGGATTTAAGTGCCAACAAATGAAATGACATACACAACGTTATCACTGCTCCATTCCAAAGCAGCAGAAGCCTGGAAACAAGACAATTACCATACAGAGGAGTGTGTGGTTGTCAAATGCCCCTACACAAGCGGCTTTCAGAAAGTTCATGGAAATGTGTACTGTGAGAAACTACTGCACCAAAACGAAAAAACAAAAACAAACAAAAAACACCAGTTATAACATATCTGAACAGAACAGAATTTAGTGTGAGGCACTGAGACATCAGTTTGAAAAGAGCCCCGAACATTCCAAACATGAATTCGGCTAGCACTGAGGCAAGAAGAAACAGCAAATGTATGTTGAAGCCTGGGAGGATGAGCAGTAAAGTCACTGATGCTTCATGCAAAATTTATGGGGACAATGTTCCTGAGAAACCAGCAGTTTACAAATGGGTAACTTGTGTGAAGTACGGGCAAGACAACACTGAAGATGAAACACACTGGCAGACCACACACATTAATTTGTCAGCAAAGAAAAAAAAACAATGTCTTGTCTATGCCCTGATTGAAGAGGATAGATGATTAACAGCAGCAACACAGTAGCCGACACCAGACGTTGAAATTGGTTCAGTTTACACAATATGGACTGAAAAACTGAAGCTGAGCAAATTTTCTGCTCAATGGGTGCCAAAACGGATGCAACTGCATCAGCTTCATTTTTTAAAAAGATTTTATTTGAAAGGCAGAGTGACAGAGAGAGAGAGAGAGGTAAAGACAGAGAGACATCTTCCACCTGCTGGCTTAGTCCCTAAATGGCTGCCAACAGCCAGAGTTGGTCCAGGCTGAAGCCAGGAACCCGGAACTCCATCTGGGTCTCCCACATGGGCCATCTTCCACTGTTTTCCCAGGCACACTATCAGCGAACTGGACTGCAAGCGGAGCTGCTGGGACTCAAATCAGTGCTCCAAAATGGGATGCTGGCATCACAAGTGGTGGCTTAACCTGCTGTGTCAACACCAGTCCCTCAATGGAAATGCTACACAAGATCCTGAAGTACAGTGCTTCAAAAAACTGGAAGAGGACAGGAACCATGGCTTTACCAGTGTGATTCTGATAACAAAGCAATGGCTACCCAGAAGTGGAAGTAGTCTGGTCAAAGCAGAAACAGACCAATCATGAGCATATGACATGGTAATAGTTTTCAATTACTGACTTTATGGAGGACCAAAGGACAGTAACATTTGCTTATTATGACACTGTTTTAGGAAAGTCAATAGAAAGTTTAGCAGAAAATGCCAGGGAAAGCTTCTCCAAATAAGGGCAGTGTTACTTAAAGTCTTCTTTTAGCTTCTTCTCATTTCTTTTTGTCTGTTAATCTTAAAAAACAAAATCAAAAACTTAAAGGACATCTTTTTTTTTTCTTCTCCCAATTAATAATGTAAAAAAGGGGCTGGTGCTGTGGCGCAGTGGGTTAACACCCCGGCCTGCAGTGCCGGCATCCCACATGGGCGCCAGTTCGAGTCCTGGCTGCTCCACTCCCAATCCAGCTCCCTGCTGTGGCCTGGGAAAGCAATAGAAGATGGTCCAACTCCTTGGGCCCCTGCACCTGCGTGGGAGACCCAGAGGAAGCTCCTGGCTCCTGGCTTCAGATCGGCGCAGCTCCAGCTGTTGCAGCCAATTGGGGAGTGAACCATCGGATGGAAGACCTCTCTCTCTCTCTCTCTCTGCCTCTCCTTTCTCTGTGTAACTCTTTCAAATAAATAAATAAATAAATCTTTAAAAAAAAAATAATGTAAAAAAGATGGCACTGTGATCGTTAAATTCCCAGGATCCTCCGTTCTTTGGGGATGGACTAAATGGCTGGTATCACAGCTGACAAAAGTGCCCTGAACTTGACGGGGTTTACATTAGAAATAAGTTTTAATTTTTCATTTTTCCATAAACATTTTGAAGTCCCCTTGTATTCCAACACCAGTTTAATTATTATGCACACAGACAAAAAGGCAAATAATCAGGTAATCACGGTATGGAATATATTTGCTTGCTTCTAAGAAAAGAAACATAAAAGGTTAGAACCGAGGAATAAACTCTCTAAGTCACTTATTTTGGCTAACTATCTTTTAGTTTCTATTTCTTCAGGTTATCAAACCTTGCATATCAACACAGAGAGGAAGGAAACAGCCTTTTGTAGCTGCACTCAGATTTGAGAGTTTTTCCACTCTTAAAGCATGTGGCTCTATAACTAAATTTCCCACCAGTAGCTTCTTATAAGAAAAGACAAAGGAATGAAAACACAAACAGGGGGTTCAACAGTCAAAAGGAAATGCCAAACTCCCACAACTTGTAAGGACCTTTCCCCCCTCACTCAAAACAGGAAATTCGATCTGTTTGCTGTTTCATTCCCTTCAAACTTCTCTTATTTTTCTAGTTCCAGACAGAGTAAAAACAACACACACACATGCCCTCTTTTTTGCCAAGATTATGAACATTTTTGGTGCATTTATGACGTGCCAAATACTATATATCACTGATTCTTCACAAAACCCCTGGAGGGAACATCCCAGTTTTACAGGTGGAAAACCAGATGCAGGAAAGCTAGGGAATAGGCCCTGTCCTGGTGCATTTAAGGGAACTATACACAACCATCTGAGCGGCCCCCTGCACCTCCACCATTTCACAGTCCCATGCTCTTAGGAGGGTTCCCCATTTTCCACATCCCTGGCAACACAGGGTAAGTGACTCTCTGACTACAGCTGACTATTCTTAGTGGATGCATCTCATGGGGTTTTGATGAGCACTTTCTTATTGACTAACCACAAGCATCTTTTTGTGTTCCTATTGACCACGTGCGTATCTCTCTTCCAGATTGTTTGCTCAAGTTTTAACTGGACTGCTTCTTTATTATTATTGAGTCCTAACAGCTTCTACATATTGTGGGTCTAAATCTTTATCAGATCTACAACCTGGAAATACTTTTGTAATTCTGTGGCCACCTTCTTGACAACAATTAAAGCATCAAAGTTTCAGATTCTGATAATATCCTAGTTACCTATTTTTACTTTGTTCCTTGGGTTTCTTGTATCTTATCTAAGAATGCTTTGTTGTGCTATTTTCGATTATTGTTGCTCTGTAGTGAGTTTTGAAATTATGATGTGTGTGACTCCTCCTGCTTAGCTTTTTCAAGATCGCTTTGGTTATTTTGGGTTCTTTATGCAGTTTATGTCTTCTTTTCCAATATGGATGCCTCTTATAATTTTTCTTGCCTAACTGCCCTGGCTAAAACTCTCTAAGTCACTTGTTTTGTCTAAATATCTTTTAGTTTCTATTTCTTTAGGTTATCAAAGTTTGCATATCAACATAGTGTGGTACCATGTCAGAACTGAAGAGCGCACACAGCCTTGTCTTGTTCCTGATATACAGGGAACACTAAGATGTGTTGCCACTAACGTTACCTCTGAGTTCTTTATCACACTGAGGTAGTCTTCTATTATAATTTGATGGTTTTTTTCCCAAGGTTTATTTATTTCAAAGACAGAGAGACACAGTATTCCACTGTGCCAGTTCACTTCCCAAATGCCCACAACAGCTGGGATCAGGCCAGGCTGAAGCCAGGAGCCAGGAATTCCATCCAGGTCTGCCACATGGGTAGAAGGGGCCCAAACACTGAGCCATCTTGCACTGCTTTCCCAGGTGCATTAGCAGGCAGCTGGATTGGAAGTGGAGCAGCTGGGACTTGAACTGGTGTTCATATGGGATGCAGTATTGCAGGCCGCAGCTTAACCAGCTGTGCCACAACGCCAGTCCTGAAACCTATTATTTTAAGAGTTCTTTGATTTTAGCTCTAATATTTCAATTTTAATTTTTTTAAATGGTATGAAGTAGAGATCTCATGATTTCTTTAAAGCCCATTAGTTATTATTTATACGGTTCTAGGTAACAATTTTATGCCAATCAAGAACAAGAAAGTGAAAAGAGAATGTAAAAAACCACAAGTTCTGTGACGGGCATTGGTGTAGTGGTTAAGACACCACATCCCATATCAGAGCACCTAGGTTCAGGTCTTAGCTTTGTTTCCAATTCCAACTTCCTGCTAACGAGAACCTGGGGAGGCAGCAGGTAATGGTTCAAGTCCCTGCTTCCCGTGTGAGAAAACTCTCATTGTACACACATGCTTCTCGCTTCACCTTGGCCTTGTCCTTGGCTGTTGAAGGCATGAACCAGCAGATGCAGGATTTTTTTTTCTCTCTCTCTCTCTCTCTGCCTTTCAAATAAGTATTTTTTTAAAGGTAAAATATTAAAAAAAAAAAACCACACACAAAAAAAACTACAAGGCTCTGCAATGAGACATGAATCAACAGGAATTTCCTTTTTAATGCCATCTTTTAGGCTCTTGCTGGCACTTCTTCCTATAGCTTTAAGGTACTGAGGGAAAACCATCACTGACTTTTTAAGAAGTTTTTTTTTTGAAGGTGCACCTGACTTTATAAAATTCAAGATATGCTTTGGTATTATTATTTCCAAATTCCAAATATATCTTAGGCCAATCCTGATTTTAAAGAGATTTGTAAGTTATTACCTCTAAAAAGAACATTAAGAACTGGTTTTGGCTCACCCAAAAAATGATAATGATTATATCCAGTCTTCCTGAGGTTCCCTAAATGGCACAGGTGACAGGAATACAGCTTTTACAGCAATGAGTGTGGAGACTAAATTGAAAACACAGTGCTAATGGGACAGTTGCCTCACTTTTGTACATATGAAGGCCTCAACATCATAACTTTCCCAACACACACTCTGTGAAACGGGGTCAAGACAATTACCTGAAAGTGAGCCCACAGACATTTTGCAGAAGCACAAGTGTTATGCAAATTGAGAGGCTACAGGTGACTATCCCCTATAACACCCAACATACCAGTCCTGCTTTGGGGGCTAGTTCCGGTGCCCACAGAAGGTACTCACAGGAGAGAGTTTCTGGATGAGGTCATGTGCCACATGGACAAGGTTCTTGTCTTCGTGGAGACATTTCTGAAACTTCTTGCTCTCCTCATCTTCTAGAAGGTCAAAGTCAATAGCAGCATCCAGTAAGGCCTGAATCAGCCCCTTCCAGGATTTCAGGGCTGGAACTTGAGGTGCAACAGCAGCACTGATGCCTGTGCCAATCACCAGCACAAGCTCCCGGGGCTTCTTGGTTTTTAGGCTTGGAAGCAGCTTCCTGAAAGGCAACAGAAACCAGAGGATGAGAACATCCCATAGATCTGAGGCACAGCAACAGAAGAAACCAAGGTTGTCAGTGGGAACTTTTCAGCTGCAAAGACAGCTACCAGTTTCTGACACTCCCCTGAGTAGCTTAATCAAAAAGGCCAGAACACTGTGCTGGCGCTTGCTGAAAAGCAAAGTTATAAACCTATTTCAAGAAGCCTAAACAGCAACTTAAAAAAAATATGTTGTCTTTGGGACGGGTGCTGTGGTATAGCAGATATAGCCGGGCCTGCAGGGCCGGCATCCCATACGGGCACCAGTTCAAGTCCCGGCTCCTCCACGTCTCATCCAGCTCTCTGCTATGGCCAGGGAAAGCAGGAGAAGATGGCCCAAATGCTTGGGCCCCTGCACACATGAGGGAGACCCAGAAGAAGCTCCTGGTTCCTGGCCTCAGATTGGCCCAGCTCCAGCCATCGTGGCCATTTGGGGAATGAACCAGCAGATGGGAGGTCTCTCTGTCTCGCTGTATCTCTGCCTTTCAAATAAATAAATCTTTAAAATATATATGTGTGTGTATATAATATAGTCTTCTTTATAGACTTGTGAACCTAAGAAAACCCACTAACATTAGGAAAAAGTCCAAATATGAGCATATCACAGTTCAGCTGAGCTCTGCTAACTAAATTACATTTTACAGCAATACTAAATTTCAAAAGAACATGTTTGATTTGTGTTCCAGAAAGACAGAAAAGAACTCCATACAAATTAAGCTCCTATTATTGAGAAATATAAAATAGCAGATGAAAAAAATTAACTGCAAATTTTATTAACATTAAGATAAAACTGAGCATGAGACAGTAAAAATAAAAAATGAGGACAAATCTAGCCTTGGTTTTGTTCTTAATATTCTCAGGCAAAAAAAAAAAAAAAAAAAAAAAAGAAAAGAAAAGAAAAGAAAAGAAAAGCAGTTAGCAGAATTTATGTACTTCATATGCCTCACATACCCAAATAAACAAAGTACAGAGCTATTCAATAAGCGTGACAGAAAGCTGGACACGTCCTTTCTCTCCACGTTAGGCACAGATAGGTTTCTGCTCTGAGGCTCATACGTGAGCAAGCACGGGTACAAGTGTTTGGTTTTGTTCCCCCACCACCACCTTTCACTCTGAAAGAATGTGTTAAAATCCCTATTTGAAATATTCCTTCACTTTAATAATTGTTGATGGCATGCCTTTTCCACCCCAAAACTGTCTTTTGTCCAAATAATAAAATGAACAGAAATAGGATCAGCATTTTGGCACACACAAGAAAGGAATAGTATTTTTAAGGCTTGGGGAATTGAATTTTGGGGAAATTATGTCTAGAACTGCCTTCTGTATCCCCGGCTCCTGCATTCAGTCCCTCAACAAATATGAAAAACCTGCAGGCACCAGCCCTTATGGCAGGTCCCAGCGATGTACTGCGAAGTTCAGTCTTCTGGAGAAGACTGAGAAAAGACCCTAGAAGCAAAGGATGAAAAATGAGTTTCGGTGTAGAAGAACCACGATACTGAAGCACACAGCAATACAGATACACACCAAGGAGTCACGAGGACCGTCAAAGGCGGCTAACGGGGGCTTGCAGGGGAAAAGGACTCTCACTTTATACTGCTGCGTGGCTTCAATTTTTTTTTTTCACCACACACATACACATCTGAGCTATAATTTTTCCTAATGAAGACTTCCAATTTAACAGTTTTGTATTATTTCTGGTCCTCCTTAAAGTGACTGAACAACTGTCAGTGCTTTGAGGGTAAAAGTGCATAAAAAGTAGAATAAGGCTACAGAAAACAAGAAATCAGAGGGCGACAAAATCCTGGAATTTGTGAAGGCCGATTCTCTTTCTAGAACCTGGGACACGTTTAGGGACATCTGAGAAAAGAGGAGCACCTGGATCAGAGGCAATTACACGGCTAAGACTTGGGGCTTGCCTTCTGGGGAGGCTGTGCCAAGAGGACTCTGGATTTGAGAACACCGCACAGCTGGAGATCAAGGAAAAGCCTAAGTACAAAATACAAGAGGTTGTAAAAAAGTTCATAGAAATATGCACTATCTTTTTTAAAAAAATATTTATTTAGAAAGGCAGAGTTACAGAGAGGCAGAGGCAGAGAGAAAGAGAGGTCTTCCATCCACTTGTTTACTCTCCAGATAGCTGCAACGGCCGGAGCTGCGCTGATCCAAGGCCAGGAGCCAGAGGCTTCTTCCGGGTCTCCCACGAGGGTGCAGAGGCCCAAGCACTTGGACCATCTTTTACTGCTTTCCCAGGCCATAGAAAAGAGCTGGATCAGAAGTGGAGCAGCCAGAACTCGAATTGGTGCCCGTATGGGATGCCGGCACTGCAGACAGATGCTTTACCTACTATGACACAGCGCTGGCCCCTGCACTATCTTTTAATTCCATTTTCCACTAATATTTTAAAAAATATATTTATTCATTCATTTGAAAGGCAAAGTCAGAAAGAGAGAAAGAAAAAGGTCTTTGGATGAAGCTCCAGGCTCCCGGCTTCAGCCTGGCCCAGCCCTGGCTGTTGTGGCCATTTGGGGAGTGAACCAGTGGATGGAAGGCTTTTCTCTTTCTAACTCTGTCTCTCCCTCCCTGTAACTTCACCTTTCAAATAAATAAATCTTAAAAGAGAGAGAGATTTCCTCATCTGCTGGTTCACTTCTCAAATGGCCACAACAGCCAGATCTGGTCCAGGCTGAAGCCAGGAGCCAGGGACTCCATCCAGATATCTAATAATGGTAGTAGGGGGCCCAAGTACTTGGGCCTTCACCTACTGCATTCCTAGGTGCATTAGCAGGGAGCTGGACTGGAAGCAGGGCAACGACTTGAACCAGTGCTCCAGTGTGGGATGCTGCTCTTGAAAGCAGTGACTTAGTCAAATGCATAACAACATTGGCCCCTTCACTAGTTTTTTTTTTTTTTTTTTTTTTTTTTTTTTTTTGACAGGCAGAGTGGACAGTGAGAGAGAGAGACAGAGAGAAAGGTCTTCCTTTGCCGTTGGTTCACCCTCCAATGGCTGCCACGGCCGGCGCACCGCGCTGATCCGATGGCAGGAGACAGGTGCTTATCCTGGTCTCCCATGGGGTGCAGGGCCCAAGCACTTGGGCCATCCTCCACTGCACTCCCGGGCCACAGCAGAGGGCTGGCCTGGAAGAGGGGCAACCGGGACAGAATCTGGCACCCCGACCAGGACTAGAACCCGGTGTGCCGGCGCCGCAAGGCGGAGGATTAGCCTAGTGAGCCGTGGTGCCGGCCTTCACTAGCTTTTTTAAGCAGTCTCATATTAGACATCTCCCAGCCCCTTGTCCCCAGGGGAAGGCTCCCAGACACTAGCAATCAACCTTACATCTGCTGCATCTTCACCCTCCATCAAGTCAGGAGATAGAGGATTGTGCCTTGAGAAAAAGACCCACAGCTTCTGCCAGGTGGGAGTCCCTCGGCTGCAGAGCCTGGGCCGTGCCTGACACCCACTGGAAGGCTCATCAGCAACCCGGGCCCTGATGCACACACAGATTCTCCAAGGGCCTCTTCAGTGCTTTTGCCATATGAGCAGACTAGGAGGGTCACCATGCATTTTGAAGAAAGCCCCTGACACCAGAATTATACTAGCAGGCAGAGAGGAATTTGGAGGAAAAAAGAAGATATAGGGGGGCCGCTGCTGAGGCATAGTGGGTTAAGCCACCGCCTGCAGTGCCGGCATCCTATATGGGCACTGGTTCAAGACCCAGCTGTTCCACTTCCGATCCAGCTCTCTGCTATGGCTTGGGAAAGCAGTAGAAGATGGGCCAAGTCCTTGGGCCCCTGCACTCATGTGGGAGATCCAAAAGAAGCTTCTGGCTCCTGGCTTCGGATTGACACAGCTCTGGCTGCTGTAGCCACTTGGGGAGTGAACCAGCAGATGGAAGACCTCTCTCTCTCTCTGCCTCTGCCTCTCTGTAACTCTGCCTTTCAAATAAATAAATAAATCTAAAAAAGAGAGAGAGAGAGACAACATAGAAAAGAGAATAAAGAGAAGAAAAATTTAAAAGCAAACAATGATATCCTCCTCACACAGACTTAAAATAGAAGGAAGCTCGACATTTAATCCAGAAGGTCCAATATCTGAAGAAAAAGAGTTCTACAAAGGCAACGTCATACAAGACAGCTTCTCTCAATGAAGTTAACAGCAGCCAGCTTCAGAAAGACAACTAGTGTCTAGAGTTGTATTAGGATACATCACTATGAAATTCCAGGTACAGAGAGTGAAATCATGATACTTACAAGCTCCAGGATTCAGAGGTCAAAGTTCTGGGAATCAGAACAGAGTGGCTACTTTGGTTGGAACACCTAGATGTTAGTAGAGAAAGGATCCTACCTACAAAACACTAAAAATATGTTCTGGGGATGATGTTGTAGATCTCCACTTCAGATACAGCTCCTTGCTGATGTGCCAGGGAAAATAGCAGAGGATGGCCCAAATACTTTTGACCCTGCACCCATGTGGGAGACCCAGAGGAAGCTCTCGGCTCCTGGCTTCGTCCTGGCCCTTACAGCTACTGGGGGAGTGAACCAACTGATGGGAGAGTGCTCTCTCTCTCTTTCTCTGTAACTCGGTTTTTCAATAAATAAAATAAATTTTTAAGAAAGAAAATTTCCTACCTAAAATTCTATGCTCAAACCATGAAATAAATGTAAAGCATATGATAAAGACATTTTCAAACATCCTCAAAATTTTTTTTCTCCTGTGGAACTTTACTGAGGAAGTTACACAAGGATATGCTTCAGCATCATGAAGAGCATCAAAGACCTAAGACATGAGGCCCGGGAAACAGAGCAGCCAACAGAGGGGCGTGGGATGGGGAATTCTCGGGGTGCTGGAAAAGGGAAACAGCCCCCATGAGTGCTGCAGCAGGTCTGGGAACTATGGGAAAGAGGGGTGAGTCCAGGAAACAAACTCATCTAGCCAGTTACCCAGCTTTCAGCAGACACACACTCACTCTCTTTCAGTGTCTCAGGGTAAACAGAAAGGTATACCACAACCAAATAAATTAGGCAATCTTTAATCGAGAGAAACAAGTGGGCAAGAAAATACGATCATAATGCATTATTAGCCTCACCTATGACTATTATTTTTAGTCACTATAATGCAAATATTGAAAGCTGACATAACCATACTGTGAGGGTATGTGGAGAAGGGTGTGTGGGGTGGCAGAATAGGGGGAGGAACCATGAGAGCAAACATAATCTATCTTCATCTGTCATTATCTGAAAATAAGTAAAACCAAAATAAAATAGGCACACACATACATATAGCATTTAAAAACACAGACATAACTATCAGAAGAAATAGATAAAAAAAAAATTGTAAGGGAGGAGGGGGGAGTACTGCCTTTAAAACTGCATACATGTATTACCTTGACAGAAAATGGACATGAGCGAAAACAAGTGGAATAGAGAGTGAGTTCATCATCATTATTTTTAAATCTCCCACTAATGATAATTTACTCTGTTGCTCTCATTCCCTTCTCTTGTTTACCTGGGCTTTTTGGAGGGGGGTGCGCCATCACTGAAGAATCCAAAAATCTCGTCTATATCAGAGGCCTGGCTCCCTGTAGAAGCCATCCAGTTTCTAAAATAGATTAAACACCATGGACCATGATTAGATCTGTAAAGTACACTATTCACAACAGCACACACATAAACAGTTTTCATAACCTCTATACCCTTAACCATGTTTTAGAAGTATCTCTTGCTTATTAACGCATTTGTTAATTAACACACATTCCAAACTGAAGGAATTAAATCAGTCTAATAGAAGTTAGGTTCAAAATTGCAGACTTGGGTGTTCCACACTGCATTCCTTTTCCATTCTTGAAGATGCCCACCCCCAGCCAAAAAACGACCATCGTCAACTTGGGTCAATTAGCGGCTATCACTCCTCAAATACCTGCTATGCTCCCACAAGACAGGTCTGGGGAAACAGGATAAAATTTACCTTTGGAAGTAGGCTAGCAGCCTCCCATTACCCATTTACTCTCTCAACTGAAGAAAGCTCAGGTCAAGAATAGAACAATCCATACTCATTCGCTGATCGTTAGACATTCCGTGTGGCTGGACAGGCAGCAGGGCATGTCTTTCTGTCTGAACATGCAGTACACTCTTAAATCATGCTCATGTGACAAATGCAGAGAGGTATTATGAAGCAAAGATGAACAATCACCAATTATGTCCAGGTGCCGAGAACAGTCAAAGTGAAAGGATTACCATGGATTAGAATGAGAACCATAAAGAAAGGTTTTATAAAAAAAAAAAAAAAAAAGAGAGAGAGAGAGAGAGAGAGATGAATTAATTTGAAAGGCAGTTATGGAAAGGCGGAGGATGAGAAGGGGAGGGAGATCTTCCATCCTTTGGTTCACTACCCAAATCCAGATCTCCCACATGGGTGACAGGGGCCATCTTCCACTGCCTTCCCAGGTACATCAGCAGGGAGTTGGGCTGGAAGTAGAGCAGCCAAGACTTGAACCCACACTCTGATATGGGATGTTGGCAGCTTAATGTGCTGTGTCACAATGCCAGTCCCAAAGAAAGTCTGGTTGCTCAAAATTTCATTAAACTTTAATCAAAGGACTGTTACACATTTAAAACAAGCAATAATATTTTAAATACTACACAGAATGGAAGACAATGCAAACTTCTACCAGGCTGGGGTTGTTTTCACATTCCACTGTCGATACTTAGAAAAAACTGAATTACTAATAATTAGACATTTAATGTTTTATCAGAAAGTGTTTTTCTTTTAATAAAGCATATTTTAACGTTTGCTGAATTAATTTTTCTGGTAAACAGAAAACCCAGATCTTCACCCTATTTTCCATCATACATATTTGATTGCATAACCATTGGGAAAATTAGGTATCATAAAATCACTGACATGAGAGCGGACAGGTAGAGCACCTTTCTAATCAAATTTTTGATTCGATTAGTGAGAAAGTTGGGGATCAAGAGAAGACAGATGAAGCACACAACCCAGCAAACCCTGCCCCAATTTGATCATCTGTGGCACCTGTTCCAGGCAACTATTCCTTTTTATTTCTTTTTAAAGATTTATTTATTTGAACAGCAGAGTTACAGAGAGAGCATAGAATCTTCCACTGGTTCATTTCCCAGATGGCTGCAAAGGCCAGGGTTAGGCCAGGCAGAAGCCAGGCGCCAGGAGCTTCATCCGGGTGTTCCCCTCCATGGGCCATCTTCCATTGCTTCTCCCAGACCAACAGCAGGGAGCTGGATCAGAGATGGAGCAGCTGGGACTCAAACCAGTGTCCATACGGGATACAGGCACTGCAGGCCGCAGCTTCACCTGCCACAATGCTGGCCCTAGTTATTCTTGAGGCAGGCATCTGGCACAGTGGTTAAACTGCTGCTTGGGGACACTCGCATGCCATATTTCAGTGCCTGAGTTTGAGTACTGGCGCCATTCTCCCTTCCAACTTCCTGCTAATGCACACCCTGGGAGGCTATAGGTGATGAGTCAAGTACTTGGATCCCTGTCACCCACATGGGAGGTATGGATTGAGTTTCTGATCCTGGCTTCTGTCTGGCCAAGCCCTCTCTCTGCCCACCAAATGAAATTTTAAAAAAATTTAAGTAACTATTCCTAAAAATAAAGCCAATTAATTACAAAAAATGTATCTGTTTCTGGGCCTCACTGAATCAGATCTTCAAGGGATTCCGATGATAGGGCAAACAAAACATAGCTAAATAAAATGCAAACTCAATTTTTCTAGAACCCAACTATTTTGCTAAAAGCAGGAGGTGCGCCACAGTAGCCAAGTCCCTCTCTTGAAGTGTATGTATCATCTATCAGTCTATAGCTTCTGGTTTGTGAACACCACCAGGCAGGATGTCATCGCCATCAAAGTACTTTCAAAAAGTTTTAATTTCTGTGAAGCCATTTTCCACTCTAAAATCTACGCTGGAGACCAACAAATCTGCAACAGAAAGGTGATACCTTCTCCCAGGGACAGAACAACCTGTCATTTTGGGGGTATTGTTAAAAGACACACAAGGAAAAATATGTGTGCTAATGCTCTTTCCTTCAACATAGTTCTATCAACTCACCATCTAAACAAATTACATCCAAACACTGTGTGCTGAGCAACGGCAAAGGGAACTGTACAGAGAAATTAGTGTTTATTAAGATTTGAAGACAGCCATCTTCAGAACTGAATACTCAATTCGGCTACTAGAGTTTTATTTAAGCAAACTCTGGTAGCGCTGATTCAAGCCATGTACTATTTATAAATATTAACTCTTTAAAACTCTATAACCTTAAGGGGCAATACAAATTAAACATCCCTAAACTGCAAACTCAAATCTGAAATCCAAAATGCTTCAAAATCGAAAGCTTTTTGGGCACCAACATGACACCACAAGTGGGAAATTTCACACCATAGAATTTGTTTCACGCACAAAACTATCAAAAACATTGTACAAAATTCAGACCATGTATATAAGGTACACATAAAACAAATAAATTTCATGTGTCCTATCCAAGATAACTCAAATATTCCAAATCTCCCAAAAAAATAAAACTTGAAATGCTTCTGGTCACAAGCATTTCAGATAATATACTAATACAGGTTGAGTGTCTCTTATTATCCTATTTTACAGGTGGAAAACTGAGGCAAAAACAGGTTGGTACTTGGTAGTACCACAGTGCAAACATGGCAACTCTGCTTCACAAATCTATGCTCTTAACTACACCATTACTAACTAAAAACATTCTCCAAGCATTTGCTTTCCAGCTTAAAAACAAAAAACTTCAGTCCAAAGCCTTCAAAAAGAAAGCACCTACGTTTTAGAAAGCAAACTCACTTGAAGTAACTCTGCAAAGTGCTTCAGTTGCTTTGTAACTAGAGGCCCAGGGATGGCATCACAGATTAATAATCATCACATGGCTACATGCAGAAGCTGGAAAGTACTTTTTGTGTTTTTCTGGTGACAGCACTACTTCTTACATTCTTCTCACCACCACTAACCAACCAGAGCCCCAGATCAGTCTTTCACTTTCCCCTGGAAAATATGCAGGATCACTTTTTTTTTTTTTTTTAAGATTTAACAGAGAGGGAGAAACAGAGGTCTTTCATCCGCTGTTCATTCCCCAAATGTCTGCAAAGGCCGTAGGTGAGCCTATCCAAAGCCAGGAGCCAGGAGCTTCTTCCAGGTCTCCCACACGGGTGCAGGGGCCCTAGCACTTGGCTTTCCCAAGCCATAGGCAGAGAGCTGGATCAGAAATGGAGCAGCCGGAACACGAATCGGGGCCCATATGGGGTGCTGGTGCCTCAGGCAGAGACTTAGCGTACTACACCACAGCACTGGCCCCAAGATCACTTTTGCTGGGTTCTAATTCTGTCAAACGGTCAATTCCAGATGTCTACACCTGAACATGAAGCTTTTTGACTTTTTCCCTTTTCTGAGTCAACTGCTCTCTAGGTCCATTCCATCTACCATAATTTAATTAAAGTACATATGGCCAAGAGGTCCTGACTGCATGCTCTGGGTTCTCTTACCCAGGAATTGAAGAAGAAATAAGTCCACAGGCTTGGGGAGTGAACCAGCAGAGGGAAGACCTTTCTCTGTCTCTCCCTCTCACTGTCTATAACTGCCTGTCAAATAAAAAAAAAAATTAAAAAAGGAAAGGCTGCAGTTTACACCACACAACTAAACACATGATCCTATATTCATTCCTGTTTTCTTCAGTCTAAAGGGTGTGGCACACAATGCAATCCCACAAGGACATCTCAGTAGCATATACAAGTAAGCCACACTTTACTCCTCCCACAGTAATATTTGTGATGGTGGTGGGGAACTCATTTTAGTACGTACCCTAAACAATATGTAGTCATTGCTAAAGAGTTTCAAAGCTAACTGTGAAAACCCGACCCAGAGTTCCTAACATGCATCAACCAGCTCACACAGCAATCTTTCTCTTTTCTTTTGTTCTTTTAAGATTTATTTATTTGAAAGGCAGAGTTAGAGAGAGAGGAAGACAGAGAGAGATCTTCCATCAGCTGGTTCACTCCCCAAATGGCCACAATGGCCAGGGCTGGGCCAGGCCAAAGCCAGGAGCTTCATCTAGGTCTCCCACATAGGTGGCAAGGGCCCAAGCACTTGAACCATTTTCCACTGCCCTCCCAGGTGCATTAGCGGGGAGCTGGGACAGAAGTGGAGCAGCCAGGACACAAACCCGCACCCAAGAGGCATGCTGGCATTGTAGGCAGCAGCTTAACATGGTACGCCACAACACCGGCCCCACAGCAATTTCTTTACATGGTCGCTAGTTGAGTTTATTTCAGTGTGATCTGCTATGTATATGAGAAGTGGAAATGTTTTCCTGCCACAAGAAAACAAAGGCAGTGACCTGTGGCAGGGTCTTCATTACTCCAATTACTGCTAAGCCACTGAGAAATCCTTCAGTGGCAACAGAGTACAGCAAAATAAAAGCCAGACACTTGGTAAGCACTGGGAAAAGTACTGGCAACCTCATTAGCAAAAACGTGAAAGCCAAAGTCTCCACAGGAGATAGAAAACTTCAACTCTGAAACTTGGCAGGAAACAGAATGCTTATAT